GGTGGGGAGGGTGTCTAGGACTCTGGGGAGAGGGATAGAAAGGGCTGGTGCACTCAGCACCCACTCCCCACTCCCCACCTTATCCGGTCAAGTCTGACTCACCTGGACCAGTTCCGCTCCCCAAACAGCCCCTGTGTTAAGGTATTTTTGGGGCATTTTTGGCAGACACTGAGGGGCTGGGACACAGAGCGTCACTGCTCTGGGAGATTTGGCTTCAGGAAGCATTCTGCACTCTGCTCATATTTTGGTTTCATACCTTATGATGAAGTGCCATGGCTTTTATGTTGGGATAACAGAGTGATTTATTATTTACCAAATGCAGTGGGCGCTCAACAGATCAATTTCAATAAAACAATGGCTTATAAACGCTGCCAGCAATCTGGCCAAAGCAGTAATCAACAAAACATGTTGTTCTAAATGCTTCATAATAAATTGACTATAATAAACTCATAATTATTCTACTGGCTACATTTCAAAGTTGGCACTAGAAAAATAAAATCACCAATTTGGGCTTGGCATTAACATCCAAGGGATTCCTTGGATCACTTCTGTCTCTAAGCTGTGACCAGGAGACGCAGGTGCCAGTGCTGCCCAGGAGGACTGAGGGCACAGCACCTGGGCTGGGGGGAGGCCTGATGTCTGCTGCGCCCTGGTCAGCCAGGCCCACCCTGCGGGGGCCACCCCAGGATCAGAGCTGGGACCGGCTCTCCCGGGTGAAGACACTCCCTGGGGCAAATCAAGACGGGAGCAGAGAAGCAGCCACTTCCTCTGGGTGTGCCGGGCTCAGACAGAAACGCTCCCGCCCTCGGGCTGGCCAGGGCTGCCCCGGAACAGCTGGGACCATTGTTGTGGCCAGACCCAGACCCTGCCTGGGGCCTGGCTTCCCACTTCCTGTCCTCCCAGCCAGAATGGGCCACAGAGTCAAAGAACATCAGGAAACATTGCAGGAGTCAAGAGTCCTTGAAGAGGCCAGGCGGTCTCTCCTTGGGGCCAACAGGGCTCAGCCCAGGCCCAGGGGGCAGGGCCGGCCCCTCTGTTTCCTCAGTCACCCGCTGAGCCCAGTCTGAGGCAGCCAACCCTTCCCAACCCCCTGGCCCTGCACTTGGACCTGGTCCTCTCCTGTGTCTCAGTGACCTCGCTTGCACGTGGTCACTTGTGGGAGCAGGGTGCCTCTGGTGCCCGGTCCAGGGGGGGGCCTGTCCAGGCTGCACGCCCTCGGTCCGGGGCAGTTGGACACTCAGAGAGGGTCACAGAGAGCAGCAGGGCTCCTGGCCCAGGCCCCCGAGGAGAGGGCACACGTGGTTTCTGCACCGCGCGGTCCCGAGAGGTGTGTGCTACCTCCACTCACAGATGCGTAAACTGAGGCTCAGAGAAGGAACTAAGTGGTTTGTTTCCTTCCTGAGGGCTGAGTTGGGCTCCTACCAACTGTGGCCTGAGACAGACTATCCCGTCCAGCTACTGACCCCGGGTGACTGAAGAGACTTGGCCAGTCACAAAGCCTGGTATGCCCTGTGGGAGGGGGACCCTGGGCACAGCAGGTTCCCCAAAACACTTGGCAGTGACAACTCAGAGCACGCCTCTCAGTTCATGCCCCCCGATGGACATGGCTGGGGATCCCCGGGCACAGGCTCCACACTCCTTGCTGTAGGGCTGGGTCACACGTGCATGAGGCAGGGGTTTGGAACTCCAGCTCGGGGACAGACGAGCAGGGCACACACGGAGAGGAAGCCCGGCACCGCCTGGAAGCCGGCAGGGGGAGCCTTGCTCAGGTGCCTCAGCAGCAGGAGGGAAAGGCTCCAAAGACCGGGAGGGACAGTGAACATGCCCCACGCTGCCCTCACCTGTGGTCCATGGCCACAGCACGATGTCGAAGGCCACGACAGGCCAGCCTGTGGGGCTTGTGGCCTCTGGGCAGCTCTCAGAAGCCCTATGGCAGCCGGGACTGGCCCGCCTGATGTCTGGGTGGTGAAGAGGACAGGAGATGGGGGCCTGGTCCAGGTCTGAGAGACACCCACAGACCCCTCCCAAGGTCCAGAGCAGAGGCCCAGCAAGGTGGGGCCCAGGCCCAGATCCGAGGGTCCCACCCACACTGCTTAGTCATGGCTCCACGAGGAGCTGGGAGCACATCAAACTGCTCAGAAAAGGCGCGTGAACAGCTGTGGGGCGAAGCAGCACCTCCAACCTCCTGAACCAATGGCCGCTTATGCCCAGGGTCCTGTGGCCGAGGCTGCCAAGTCTCAGAGGGGCAGAGGTGCCCCCCCTCCCAGCACCGAGACAGAGGTGTCAGTGTGTTGGCGCTAATGCAGAGGTCAGAGGGCAGGGCGGGGGGACAGTTCAGCCCCTCTTCAGAGAGCCCGCCTCCCAGGTCCCCAAGCCCCGCAGCACCGGTCCCCGCCCCTCGGGGCTCCCTCGCTCCTGGAGAGGGGGCACCACGCCGGCCGGTGCCCGTGGCAGAGGAGCCTGGGCCCAGAGCAGGACCAGGCCTCGCTGCGGTCAGCCCTCGCAGGGTGGAACCCAGAGGCCCGGGTTAGTCACTCTTGAGTTGGGTCCCACGTGGCCCCGCCCTTCACACACAGAGCAGGGCAGGGCAGCTCAGGCTGGCCTTACTCACCACATGTCTCCGTCCCGGATGGTCCGGTCATTGGGGGCCCCGGCATGTCCGTAGTGCAGTATGGCTGAGTTCTCACCACTGCAGAGGGAAGGGGAGGTCAATAGCTGGTCCTCACCACAGGCCCCAAGCATGGGCAGGACGATACCCGGATGCAGAGGCCAAGGGTGGCTGGGTCAGGCCCACAGCCTGTGGTCACTACAGTCACACACTGGGGGGCAGCCTCTCGGCTTGAGGGCCCCCCTACAGGGCTACCCTGCTGGTGCTGCTCGGGCCGGTGCTGGGGGTGGGTCTGGTGCGGGCAGCACGCGTGAAGAACAGAATGGGGAGCCCGGGGAAGCCTCCTTTCTTGGTGGCTGAAGGGACAGGGGAGGTCCACTGGGAGGGGCTTGGGCGCAGCTGGGCCCCCGGAAGTCCAGCTGGGACGCAGACGGCACCGGGCCTCACGCTCCTCTGCTCAAGAGAACGTTCCTCATGAGCGATGCCTTTAAGAAAAAAAGGACTTTTCTTCTGTCCAAAGGAAAGAAACTCACCTGGGTGTAATATTTATGGCCCTGTTTGGGAGTCTCAGGAATCATAAAAGTAGAAATAATGATTTTTCTCTCTATCTACCAGAGAACATTTCCAAGGACTGACACGTTCACATGTATTATTCATGTGCCGAGGACGCATGCATCGCCGGCTCCGTCCTGGCTGAGTGGGGCCAGACCATCTGACCGGAGAGGAAGGGGATAAGGGGGCCACCCACAGCCAGGACATGCCCTTCAAACACATACCTATAAACACACACACACACACGCACACGCACAGGCACGCACTCCACACAGAAGCCCAACATGCCGGGAGTGTGCCTGTGTGGGAGGGCTGAGGAGGCCATGGTGGCCAGGCTCCCTCCTCCACGCAGCTCTCCCAGCAGGCAGAGTCAACCTCCGCTCCTGGGGCCTTCGGAGGAGAAGTAACTTCCAAGCTTAGGTGGGCACTGGTGTGGTCATGGGAGTGAGCAGGTGCATCTAAGCTGGGGAACGGTGGGACCCCTCCCTTTCCCGTAATCCCTCCGCAATCATCCCCACGTGGCCAGGATGCCCACTTACCTGCCGCAGATGCAGGTGTAGGAGCTGTGGCGCATGCCGCCCCGGGAGTAGCAGTAGTGCTCGAAGAGGCTGCAGGAGAGGGGAGACGAGTCAGGGTGCTGAGTCATCACAGCTTGCATGGCCCCTGCGAGGCCTGAGCTCCCCGGCATCGCTCTGTGAGGCTGAAGCTGAAGTCCAGGGTCAGCCACCGAGCACAGAGGTCAGTGCGGAGGGAACAAGACCAGAGGAGCTTGCCGCCTGCAACACTGTGGCGCTGCCCAGCCTGCCAGGCCCATCGAGGACAGCCCTGGCCCTGTGGGGAGATGGGCTGACGTAGGGGCCACAGTTTCTGCAGGGCTGGAGGTAGTATCTTCCTGTGACTCCCAAGTCCAGTGGCCACACCCCGCCATTGGGAGGGGCTGGACAAGGCCAGGGAGGAACATAAAAGCTCTCCCAGACCCTGCACTGGACTCACCTGGGCTGATGGGGGCAGGGGCCTGACCGCAGGGAGGGGCGCAGGGGAAAGACAGCAGGAGCTGCTGGGCATTGGCCTGGAGGATAGGGGCGAGGGACATGCAGAAGGAGCAGGACAGGGCGGTCTCCAGGAAGGTGGAGAGAGGCAGGGCCTGGGTGGGGCAGGTCCTGCTTCTCCTGACTTGGGACAAGCCCCACCAGCCACACCCACACCCACACCCACATCACATCAGCAGTGCTGAACCCTTGGAAGCCAGGATGGCAAGAACTCTGGGGAGGCTAGGATGCTACCCCTCCCTCAACCAGATGCCTTAGGAACTGGGAGGGGGGCTTGTCTCTTCGTAGGACCCAGAACTCCATGGGCCCAGGCTCTACAGAACCCAGCTGGAGACGCGGTGATGGTGGGGACTGCCCTCACCCCTCCTGAGGCCTGGGCAACAGCTCAGGCCCTGCCCTCCAGGGGCCCTGCCTTGCCCACCCACCACCAAGGCAGGGGGACCAATCACAGGGCTGTGCTGCCCCCACCCCGCCTCCCGGTCTTCAGAGCACAGAGGCCCTAGGAGCATTGTGGTGCGTCTGCTTGGACAGTCTAGGCCTGTTTTAGAGAACGTCTATATGGAGGAGTCTAACCTTCCAGGCACTGTAAACACCAATTATGCATAATTGTCACGATCGATCGGGTATGAAGCAGTTGTTGGTCGGTTCGCTCGGCTTTCATATTTGCCTTATGAACCTCATGGCTGGGTATCTGTGAGCGAGATATTTCCTCAAGAGAAAGGATTTCAGGAATTGCCAGGGAGGTGAGGAGAGCGCACGTTCCCGGTCACGGCAAGAGCACTCAGCTGGCTGCCATTGACTTCAGCCTCAGTCCCAGAGGCCGTGGGGATGGCAAGACCAAGTCACAGCGGGAGAGTGGCCACAGCCCGCACCCTCCATGCAGCAAGCCCTCCTGCCCGCCTGGACGCCGAGACTCAGAGCTGGACACGCCGTGGGGCCGAGGTGCTCCCTGGGCTTTGAGAGAAGCTCAGACAGAAGCAGGCCTCAGGGTGCATGGCTGTTCTCGAGGTGAGGGGGACAGCGGGCCTCTGTTGAAGGCGAGGGCAGGCAGAGGGTGCGAAGGAGCAGGCAAGCAAGTTCCCCAGCAGCCGGAGGAGACGGGTGGGGCTGGCTCCCTCCTGCAGCCAATCCCAGCAGCAGGCACTGCTCTACTGTGTAATTTACTCGGAGAAACAGCCTTCGTCACTTTCTTTTATGAAAAAAGCAATGGAGAGTAAGAGGCATAGCTTGTAGAAGCTCCAAAGTAAGGACCGGCTGACCCCGCTTTCACCCGCAGCACCGCCGCACCGGCTCGTCTCCCCGCCACGCGGACACTCACACACCCACAGGAAGGGCTGAAAAGACAGGGGAGTGGCCACATGCTGGAAGTTTACAGGATCTGAAGTTCTTCAATTTGGACTTCAGCACCTAATTTGTTTTAAAATGAACTTTCCTAACATGACGTGAGGACAAACATGATGTGAGCATGATGTGCTCTGGTGGCAATAGCAGGTGACTGCAACGGGCCCAGGCTTTCTGCTCACTCCTCCGCGGGCGGACCCTCTCTCTGGGCCTCGGTCTGTCTGTGGACACGGGAAGGCGCCCAAGTTCTAGGGCAGGTGTGGTGGCTCAGGGGCCTGTGGAAGACGCCAGTCTGACATATTTCTGACTTTCTAGGGGTTGGGAGAGAGGAGTGGACATGCGACCAAGCATGCCTTGCAATCCACATGGCTGACTCGAGGCTCGCACAGCTGGGCATGATGTGCTCTGGTGGCAATAGCAGGTGACTGCAACGAGCCCAGGCTTTCTGCTCACACTCCTCCACGGGCGGACCCTCTCTCTGGGCCTTGGTCTGTCTGTGGACACGGGAAGGCGCCCAAGTTCTGGGGCAGGTGTGGTGGCTCAGGGGCCTGTGGAAGACACCAGTCTGACATATTTCTGACTTTCGACAGGTTGGGAGAGAGGAGTGGACACGCGACCAAGCATGTCTTGCAATCCACATGGCTGACTCGAGGCTCCGCACAGCTCGGTCAGCGCTCGGCAGGCACAGTCACAAGGACACACTGCAGCGGCAGAGCCACCTGGTTCCCACGGGAGGCCACAGAGCCCCTCCAGACCTTTACACAATATGGTAAACGGAGCCAGAAGAGGGTGCACCACAGGGCCTGAGCTCTGACGGACACAGCCTATGGCCAAACTCAGTCACAACGACATGAGGGCAGAGCATGTAACTGGAAACCCTCCCCCCAACACTTGGAGGTACTGCATGAAATACCATCAGCAGCGGTCACAGGACAGGAACAGGGAGGCCGGAAAGGAAGGGAACTGAAGGCCTTGGCTTCCACGGCCATGTGGGGACAGCAGCAAGCCCTTGGGCACACGAGAGGGAGGGGGCTAGACCTGAGCCTCACCCCCACATAAAGTTGGGGCCCTGGCAGGGGTGCACCCTCCGCAAAAGTGTAGACCTGGGAGAAAATTCATGAGCATCACAGGAGGCAATCAGGAAGCCTGCCTGGGCTCTGGGGAAAATAAAGAACATTCTCTCAGATTTCATAGCACGGTCTGTCCTCCATGGGGTTCAGATTCAGGTGTGAACTACCTCATGGTTTGGAAACGGTCCCTGACTGGCAACACCTGGAGCACTGGGCAGGAGCAGACACAAAACCAAACTGGACATTTGCACCCTCGACCCAGGCCAGCCAGGATCTGCACACGTGCCCGTGTGTGTGCAGGCGCGCACATGCACGCACACACACACACACACACACACACACACACAGAGGCATGCATACATGTACACAGCACAATATACACATATACGTACACATAAACATGTACATGAGGCATGCATACATGTACACAGCACAATATACACATAAACATGTACACACACGTGCGTATACATACACACACACATGCATATATACATCCCACATACACTGAACATGAACTCACAATCCGGAAATAGTTCACAAGAGTTGTCAGACACAGCAAGCAGCAGGCTTAGACCCTGAGAACTTCTGGTAACAGAATCCTCAGATGGAGATGATCCACACATAGAAAATAATACCTACAAGTACAGCTTGATAACAGGTCGGGCAGATTTTATGAAGAACCAGCAGCCTCACACACACCCTGCTGCTTTGTGGTCCCCGAAGCTTTCCTCCTGTGGCCGTTCTTCTAATATCCTCACCTATAAATTCCTCACAAGCGGGACACGGGTAGAGAATGCTCTGCATCCAGGCATAAATGAGAAGCTGGGAGTAACCTGGGAGTCTGTGCTGTGAGTAAGGAGGCAGAGGGGCAGGCCCATCTGTCAGAGTCTGGAGATGACTGATGGGCAGGGACAGCGAATTTCTGGGGCCCAGACCTGCAGGAACCGTGTCTCCAGGGACAGCACCACTGGGCCTCCCTCTGGGCCTAGCTCCTGCCTCTGAGGTTGATCATCTGATGAGGAGATAGACACAGCCCTATACAATCACATCAGCTGCCCTGGCAGCAAGAATCCCCAGCTATCAGCACAAGCGTGAGCCAGCCAGGGCGGTCAGCAGGGGCAGTGGGCCACATCATCCCCTCCCAGGCCAGGCCTGGATGCACGTCAGGCTGCCAGGAGGCCAGGCCAGGAACATCAGCATGGAAGGGAGGTGGGCAGGGTGGTGGAAGCCACTGGGCTGAGCAGAGGGCCTAGGAGAGCGGACAGTTAGGACACAGGGTTATGAATCTGGGCAGGGGCCAGAGCGTGGGGGCTAAGGTGTTAGAAGCCACAAGCAGCGTCTTCCTGGGCCCAGGCGGCAGCCCAGCCGCTGTCACTGCAGTCTCCCTGGATGCCCTCGGGCCTGTGGGTTCCCCACTGCCCTGCCCTGGGCCTCACACCCAGCCTCCTGGGGCACTGCTCAACACTGACGCCAAAGCCAACACGGATGCTCTGCCTCTTACCAGCAGTACGTATGGCTTCTCCATGCCTGTTTCCTCATCTGTATAATGGGATAACCGTACCTCACACAGGTGCCATTAACATGCAGATCCACGGCCCGGACACCCATACCCGCCATCCCAGCACAGCCAGGCTCTCTAGGGTGCAGCATTTCCAGGATAAACTGACGTGCACACGGGGCTTCCCTTGACCCAGGGCAGCTCAGCACACGGTTCCTTCCCAGATGCCTCTGCCTCCCACCCCTCTCACATTCCAAGAGTCCCAGTTCCTTTAACACAGTTCTCTGTGGGCCTTCTGAGGAGTGGTGAAAGGCGGGGGTGGGGGCCTGCCCCGCCCCTCCGCTCCCCAGACCTCTGGGTAAGGAAAGACACAGAGAACGCTAGGGAGCCACCACCGAGACTCCGAGCATGTTTTAGATAAGCAAGTAGCAATCACATGGTCTGTTGCCAAGAAGGGACTGATTTAAAGCCCTGGACTAAACTCAGAAATGCATTATTAATAAAGCAGTGCTCACGGCACAGCTTCGAGACGGCACCGACGGGGACCACAGGGGAGCCAGACCCTCTGCAAGGCTGCAATGGCCGTCTCCACCAGCGGCAGCTTTCTTCCTTCCTGATGTTCCCTGAGTCCCTTCCCTGCTCCCCCC